CTCCTTGTCTCCAGGCTTAATTAGGAAATCATTTATCTTTATTGGCACTCTCTTTCCCCTGCTGCTTTGGCATTACTATTATTTTTTGCCTTCATTCCAAAGCAATGAGCTGTACAGGGAAGACCACAGCCCCATTCATTGTGGGTGGGGAATAATCTACTGCAGGGAACTATACAAGGAAGACCCCAGCAATGAATCTGCCCCAGCTAGCTTTGCCTGAGGGACTACTGTACAGAAACAGGAGAGGAGGGTATCCCTTGGCTCCACTTACAGGCTAACAATAGGGATTCCTGGTGATACTGAAAGTAGGACACTACTCCCAAGGGATGTCATATGGTCAGCCTGTCCCAAACTGAACTGCCAACCTTCTCCAATCTAACGATACGCCTACTTCATCAGCCCAGCAATCTCCCTTGGTAAAAGAGCACACAAAGAAAAGAGGCTGTAAGGACAGCCACAGAGAACATTATACCAGGCTCTTGGACACCCCACCCACCTTCAGTGGACAATCGGCATGTCTCAGAGTCCTGAGTGAGCCTGAAGTCGGGTAGATTCCCTGCACCTCAGCAAACAGAAACTACCACTAGAAGGGTGGTTGCACACTGGAACAGGCTCCCCAGGGACATAGTCACTGCACCAAGCCTCTCTGAATTTAAAAAGCGTTTGGACCGTGCACTTAGTCACATGGTCTAAACTTTGGGGCAGACCTGTGTGGTGCCAGGAGTTAAGACTTGATGATCCTTATGGGTACCTTCCAACTCGGGATATTCTATGATTTCTATGATTCTATGAGTCTACCTTCACTTTCTCCACAGTTGTCATTTGACCATTTGCCAGGAGAGTTAGAAAGTCAAGCCTCAACCTTAACTTCTTGGGACCCAGTGGCCTTGAACCATATCAGGTGCACTCAGCAGCAAAAGGTATCTCTGGCAGATTAGAAGGGGTGGACCAGTCACTATGCTTTACTTTCACTATAGTATGCAATTCTTTCTGGGTAAATTCTCTAGATTCCATCAACTGTGTTTTTTTCTTCCACCTTAAAGAGAAGTTTCCTCTCCATACAAGCCAGGCTTGCCCCAGCCTGTTACTAATTACAGATGGAACACACAGTTCAAAAAGAAGGAATCAGAATTGTTCTCCTCCCTCCAGCAAATATCTATTGGAAAAAAAATAAAATAAAATACTCCTTTGCCTGAAGGCACCAGAAATTTTGCCGGTAAGTTTAAAAAACAAGAGGAAAGGTGATTGGAAAAGCTGAAGAGCTGACATGGTTACCTGCTCCTCTCCTCCTGATAAAATATATTCCTCTAAGAAGGCCAGTGGGATCAGATAAAAGCTTGATCACATCTGAGTAAAAGAGGGCTTCAGTTTATCTTTCTAGCTAAAGATCTTAAGGCTCATTAGACACACAGGGCAATATCCATTCTGCAGGGAGGAAAGTCAGGGACAAAGCGGTTAAGAGTAGTGATGCAGGGTAATTATGTTCTTCTTCTTTCCCATCCTAAACCTCTGCACACAGTCTAAGGACCACAGAGCTACAGTTAGAGTCAGACCCAAAGCTGTGCCCAGTTCTGCAGAGGACTCATATAACCAAGGGACACAGTATGGACAACACCTCCGTCACCTGGCAGGGCTCGTTTTGTCTAGCTGCAGCAAACAACTCTATCAGATCTTTGGATCAAACTCTTAAATAAATGATAATGTGCACCTGGGCAGAAGCTGCATGGTCTGAAGATTTTTGCCTTTTGTGCTTTCCCTGTGGAAGTACCTCCACAATGTTCAATTTCAGTTTTAGTCCTTTCAAACCCCACTCTACTCTTAACTGTAAGAAAGAGTGAACGATTATCTTGAGACCAATGTTATCTCTAATTGGAGCCACATGTAAATCCCATTCTTCTTGAATTAATCATCATCTAGTAAGCCTTCCTTTCTCAGCTTTACAGTTCAGGATACTTCTGCTAACAGGCAGGAATTAATGACATGCACCCATCTCCCATGCCCAATTTTGGTTCCCTCTGCTACTCATCCCCATTAGCTACTTAATGATGACACATGGAGTCATAAGGACTCCCTTGTTCAACCTGCATCAGCACAGAGCAATTTTTAATGTACTTTTTTGCATGCAGCCAAGTCCAGAAGGAAGCAGCTCCAATGCCAGTGATCACTTTGCCCTCAATTTTCAAGTACTGAGACCTAGTAAATGCCACGGAGAGAACAGCCTGAAAGCTGAACGTGGCAGACTGGGTACACACTGGTTATCCTCCCAGAACTACTTGGAGAAGTGTTCCTGCACTGTTGTCTGCTCAATAAGGGGCAAGGAGTTATCTTCTCTGAGCCATCTCAGCTCAATACTACTAGCTTCTAGACCCTGTGTTGCCTGGTCTACCAGTCCAGGATGTAAACAATACTGGGTGGCAGATGAGCACAGACTCATAGCTTTGCTGCTGAGGGAGCCTCAGCTATTGGAGGAGGTAGGTGCTCAGCTTTCTTTAAAATGTCTATCCTTGGGCTTATTTTGCCAGCAGGAAGCACTTCTAACACGCACATGTTTTTGGCTTGTCACTGGTAGGCTGTGAGCCAACATGTTGCCATGGAAACTAGAAAATGCAAAGTTGTGACTTGACAGCAGTATTGTGAAAAAAGAGTATCAATCTTCTTCCATATGTTCATACCCCTGACCCAGGGGCTGTGTGCCCGTGCCACGGTGGGTGGGATGCCAGCCTGTCACAGCTTTACACTGGACACAAGTGCATGGGAGGCATGGAAGGGCAGTGATCTCTGGGAGAACAGCAGGGAAATGCTGCAGAGGAACTGCAGATCCCCCCCATTGCCAGATCCCTCTGCAGAGAGGTCTGCTGGGTGTCTGGGCTGGGGCAAACCCTCTCTGGTTCTGGGGAACAGCTCCTCAGCAGCCTGAGAAATCAGCATCAATGAACTCAGGACCCACAAGCTGCCCACCCACAGGGACATGGCATCCACAGAGGTGGAACTGTGAGGTACAGACCTTCCTTCTGGTCATTCCACCTCCAGACTCCCATCGGCAAACAGGGAATTGCATGACTCGGGCCATGAGGCTGATAAAGGCCATGGAAACAGTGACAGCAGCTGAGCAAAGGCAGCTCTTCCTGAACAGACCACATCCACCAGTCATCCTGGTTCTGCTGATGTTTCTGGCCTAAGCTTTCCACTGACCATCCTTCTGCCTTGTGTCAAAACATCCATGAGTCCTGCAGTTATTTAGACAGAGGCCAACCATTTTGAGTGTGACTTTGAAATTAACCAACAGGATAGAAACTAAATTAGAGCAACTGACAATGACCCACTTGAGCACCTAAAGAAGAGTTTCTAACTGATTTTTAGTGGCTTCTAATTTTTAAAATGGATTCTCTATCAGCTCCATATATAAAGAGATGAACTATTTTTCACATACTGAGACATAACATATGCTGGCAAAGAATTAGTTTTAAGATTTCCAAGGGATTAGACAGTTGGAAGCTGACTTTGTTGCTGCCTAAGTCAGGATATATGAATGTAAGCATAGTCACATTTACGGAATAATTTTAGGATATATCATATATAAATATTTGGCCCTGAAAATATATCAACATGGATCGATTTAAATGAATTTCTACTGAGAGCCCCTCTGCACTGGTTCCTGCCCCTGGTCAGATCTCTGCAGCTGTTTCCCCTTCCTTGGCTACCTGTTTGATTTTGCTGTATTACCCAAGAAGAAACCCTCTAGAAAAATAATGCACCTTGAATACTTTATTTTGCTTGACACCTAAGGTGAGTGGCCACTTCCAGTTATGGCCTGCAGTGAAGCCTTGCTACAGGACTTCCCTGAATAAGTACCAGTTTACTCATACAACCAGCTTTCTCAGCCAGTTTCTATCCTGACAGTCCATCGAATTGCACAGCCCTGCCATGTCTGGCCATCTGACTCAGCTCCCTCTGCTCCCAGGCACTGGGCTTGCATTCCTGCCATGCACCACTCTGGTCTGTGCATGGCAGGAAGGGCAGCAGGAGAGTTGCTTATCTACTCTCACAGGAACGGGATGGAACAGTTCCAAAAAGCCTTGAAGATGAAAAGCCTCTGTAGAAGGCACTACCCAAGGCATGTGTGGATGGAAGAGCACTCCTGCGTCCTCCATCAGGAAGGCTACAGCTAAGCTATGTGTTCTCAAATACTGTTTCAAACAACAGATCTGAACTTAGCTCACTCACTGAGGCCTGTTTCACCCAGTGTTTTGGCGTTGCCTGAATGAGGTGCCATGGCCCATGGCCATTGGATGACACACACCAAGAGCACTGCCCAAAAGCTTTGCTGTGTGGGCAGTTTGGGGCAGATGAGACTTGCCATGAATGCAGTGATGCACGCTCTTATGTGCTAGCCGACAGGCAAAACTTTGGCAGGTGGCTACAGGCCCTAATCAGGCTGAATATCGCGGGGTGTCCTTGCATCTTTGTCTGAGATGCTTTTGAGTCCACCTAAATTGAGGAGACAAGAGAGCGATTCCTCCCACACATTTGCAGGCCCTATGTAGGCTTGTGGGGCAAAAGCTGAGTTCTGAGTAGCTTCTGCATTCGCAAAGCAGGTTCCACCCCAGGTGACCTGAGCTGCCCACAACCAGCCTACAGTCAGCAGGGAAGGAGTAATCTCCTCAGGTCACTGGACGCCCATCTCTGATATCTAATGACAAAGTTCCCCAAGGAGAGCCCCATCTAAAAATTATGTGTTTCTTCTGTGTGTGCCTCATTCCTCTCTTTCTGCTCACTGTGGAGGAAAATGGGACTAGCAGTGCTTGAGAGATGGCACCTGAACCCTTCTCACTCTCCCAGGCACAGCAAACAGCCTGTACATGGTCCTGTGACTCTGAGGAAGCATCTCTGGAGAGGATGGCACCACTTGCAGCAAGTTGGAAATTTTGCAAGGGTGCTCACCAGGACCCAGACTCTCAGTGTTTGTTAGCAGAGGCGGAGCAGCCCCATAGCATACTTACTTCCCATTCCCATATTTGATCCGGATGTCTTTGCTCTTCTTCAGCTCTTTGCCATCTTTAAACCATTTGTAGGATGGCTGAGGGTTGCCAGCAGTCGCCTCACATTTCAGTGAGATCTTTTCACCAACATGAACGTTTGGACTTTTCAGTTTCTTCAGTTTGGGAGGGACAGCTACAAAAAGAGAAACCAGACAATGTGAAACCTGCCTCTTTCAGGCGCTGCACACACATGATGCGAACCCACCAAGTCCCCATCTGAAACCTGTGTGCTATCCCCACTGCTGCATAATGAGGGGTGAGGGCACGCACGCCAGCTCCACACCCCAGATTTCACTAGCACCCGGCACGGAGGCAGCACTGAGAAACAACTGACTGGTGATGGAGGCACCCCAGGGTTGGCTCCCTCTTTTCTCAGCACCACATGGCCAGACCTGACGGCTCTATGGCTCCCCTTACTCAGGCTGGCTCCATGCATCTCCTTCTAGAGCAGGCGCTTGCTCTGCTGTCCTGCCAGGCCAGAGGCAGGATGCAGAAGCTCAGCCTCTTTGGAGACTTTTCCTCTGCATCCTGCCCTTGCTGTTAATGATTACCAACACCTCCATGACCTCTGCCACTGCATCAGACATGCTGCCAATCCTACAGCTCCACCAACCCCACCTGGAGCATTTCAATGCAGAAAGAACAGAGGTGGGCCACAGGGACCCATGCCTCTTTCCACCTGCTTGTGCACAACAGATATTCCCACTCCTCTCTGTGTGGTCCAACATCTGAACCACCCCCACAGAGGGACAGCTGCTAAAATGGACAATCTTTAGCATGACAGCATCACCAGCAAAGCAACAGCCACCAAGAGGGGCTAAAATGAAAGCTTACACGTGTAAAGGACAAGAAAGGAGTGACAGCAATTCTTCAGGTCACAGTTAGAATGGTGAAAGAATAGAACTGTTTAAAAGTGTCTTAGGGCCTGTAATGTCAGGCTGGCCAACTTGAAGCTGGGCTCTGCATGTGAGCTTTTCTGAGTGTCTCAGAAAGAGGATTTTGCCATGCATCTGGAACACCAGGCAGAGAAGAGAGAGACGCTTCTTATCAATCTCTGCCAGGCATTATATTACACCTGACATGCAAGGGTTAGCAGGCTTGCAATTTTTCTTTCACCTCTGCACTCCTCCAGCTCTCCTTTTCATTTTCAGACCTAACCGTAAAAAAGAAAATAACAAGTTCCTAGTTTTGCCTTAAGAATATTGGTAACAAAGGTTTCCACTTGTCTAAGATGTTAAGAGATAAAGTATTTCCTCTGACATATCCAGGAGCTTTCTTTTAACTGCCTAGCACATTCTGATCTTGTGATAAGGAGCAGAAATAAAAGGAGGAGGGATTGGATGGGTTTCATTAGACAAATCACTATTTTGTGATTTGTATGTATTCTCCTTTCACTCTCCTTGCCAAGCTAAATTATCATAGATTGGTTTTATTTAAAGACTGATTTCACTGAAGGTGATCTTATATGAAAGAAATAAAAAACACCGCAATCACAGGCATATGTTCACTTGGCAGGAAGCTCTGAGGACTCTTTTATTCCTTTGTTTTACATGTGAGGCCATTGGAAACTAAATTGTCCTTAATCAAAAAGATACAAGCTTTTACAGAAACAGAACAGATCAGACTAACCGGAATTGTCTGGGCCAAGCTAACCATGAGTGAAAGATAGCCACAAAAGACGTCTGCAACTGTGAGAGGAGAGGTGTCTGTTACGAGTGGGCACAGCAGCAGGTCTGGTCCCAGGCACACCAGACTTTCAGCTGGCTCTGAATAGCACAGTTCAGCTACTCTGGCTCCACAGCACATAAGCAGTCCTAAGAACCAGGAGTGCAAAGGAAGCGTGTTTAGCACACCAAGGGAAAAGGAATAAACTGCACTGAATACTTTTCCCTCCTGTTATTTCTGCACACCCAAGGCTGCTACAGGCTCCCTAGAAATCTGTGCCACAGGCAACAGGACGGGGAGGGCTGCACGTGTTAATGCAGCAGAAACAGTAATAAAAACAGTTTGGACAGCTACGGGCATTTCCTTTAGGCTGAACACAAGTCTTGCACTGCCTCCCAGGTCACTGTGCTTTGGTACAGAGAAAGAGACTTCTAAACAAAAATGATCTCAACTTTCCCCAAATTTCAGAAGTTCTGTGAAACTCAAAGGTGCCCTGGGTTTTGCAAAGCCAATATCCCTGGTCCTTGCCTGGAAATGGGTAATCCAAAAGAGCAGGAAAGCAATGAATGGGGAAGAGAACTCGTCTCTTCTCAGAACACTCTGCACAGCGAGTCAGAAAGGTAAACAGGACCTTGTTTTCACAGGGGTCATTTTGGGGAATAGAGAAATAGATTGTCAAATATTTATTTTGTCTGAATGTGTGTGTCAGTTGGCTGCTATTGTATGCTGAGGTCACTGTGTACCATGCCAACATTATACATATGCCTTAAATACTGGTAAGGTCCTGACCTTGGCAGTGGTGCATGTGCTTCATACTAGTTCCAGGCTGGATGTCTGCAGCATTATGAAGCAGGCAGCACGGCCTGGGAGAAAGATATGCCGATACCAACCCTCTCTACAGAAAATGCTGACAATAGCAGTGCAAAGCCCAGAAACCCAGAGATCATTGAACAACAGGACAAAAGATGAGCATGAAATCTTCCAAGATCTCTATTCCCCAGTTCCTTCTCTCCAATGTGAAATACATCTCAGCCAAACCAACACAGGAGTCTCTTGCCCCTTGTGCTCCTGGCCACCAACGATAACGTGCTTGACATTCCCGAACAGGCAGGTAAAGAGATGGAGCCCACATCACACAAGACAGGGGCTCCGCCTGCATCACACTCCTCTAGCAGAGCCTGGCCCAGAAAAAGGGAGAACGTATTTCTGGCCCAGACTGCATGCCTTTGGCTGTCTTACTACGGGAGATGCAGGGACTGTGCATTCAGCTCACAAGTCACAATTTGCAGACTGTAATTTGCCTGTTAAATCAGACAGGTCAGTTAAAGGGAAAATAGTTTGGACTGTGGGAACAGTACTATGCACAAAGACACGGAGCTGAGTTCACCAATGTCCAGCACATCTGTGTGCCTTAGTGCAACTGTGTGGCTTGTGCTTAGGAAGAGCAGGCAGAGAGCATGCGGATGCAGCATCCAGAACCATGCACAGGCTGCTCTGTCTGAATGGGAAGCAGCGCAGCCAATGTGGAAGCCCAGACCTTGTCTCCTATAAAGGCTGCTCTGATCTGGAAATGCTCTCTTCATAATTCCTGCTTCTTGTAGAAAAACACAGAAATCCTCATGTAAGGCCATTAACTGATGACGAGCCTGCTGCATGCCAGCCAAAGACTTTCCACTGCTTTTTGTTCTTATTGTTTAAACTGCTGCCCTTCTTCCTAAACTGAATTTCTTTAACTTTGGCTTGCAGCCAACAGATCTTTCTGCCTTTCTCTGGTAAATTTGAATCCCATCTAACAACCAGAAACCTCTTCCCTTTTTAGGTACTTGTAAACTATGAATGAATCACCTTTCAAACTTGTCTACTGTTAAACTAAAGTAGCCTGAGATAGTAAAGCAGCACACTTAGCTAATACTGGAGCATGTCAAAGAATGTTTTGAATTTTGGTTCATTTCCAGCTTTACCATCTACCCATTTCCTATCTCTGCCCCATCCAAATCACAAAGTTGAAGCTCAGAAAGTTGTAAGCTAGGTTCAAACAAATGTGAGGATTTTAGGTGTCCTGTTTTCTTAGTGTTGCGCACATTTTGGTTCATTTTACCTTTTCAAATACATCAGAAAAAAGCAAGTCAAGACAACATGCTATACCTGGCAAACAGTCTCAGCAGTATACCAAGGGAGGTCCAAGCCCAATTTCCCTACTTTTCCACCAGCTGCCTGCTTCTCAGCCTCCTCTTCGCAGGTTAGTGCTGCTCTGATGCAGGCACTACAAATTTTGGCAGACTCAAAACTCTAAACCAGGCCCACCCAAATCACCTCATCCATGTGGCACTGGAGACTCGAAGTTGCCTTTTCAGCACCTCATCATCTGAATGTTATGATTACGGTTTGCTAGTTCATGGTCTCCTCCACACCTAGGTGAGCAACACACATCACACAGTCACCACCACCACTGGGTTCATGAAAATGAGGAGAGGGTTTGTGTCTGTACTTGTTCAACTGTAGCTATAGGTAGCTTCAGGTAAACGTTTAGGACCCATACCTCTGGTCACCCTGTAATCCAGCCAAGCACTCCTCTACCCAAATTCAGGTCTTCTCTCTGTGGAGGTGAAGACCCACAAGCCTCACAAAGCCCAGGGTGTTGGACAGAAGAAGCAGCTGCACCCCAGGAAATTTTATGAACACACAACAATGTCAAGGATATAGCATGCTGCAGAAAGGAAGGTTTAACCATGATAGAGCTGGGACAAACAATAAATATATATTTTCTTTGGGTTTTTCTCACTCCAAAGTCAGATTAAATCCAAGTAACCACTGGATCTCAGCCTATGCTACTTGTGTAGGCTGTAAACACTAAAGTAATCATAAAAGGTGCCAGGACCCACATCAAGAAATGCACACAATTCCTTAGTCTGTTTCAAGAGTCATGTTCCACAAAGAGGCCTTTGCAGGAGAGGTTTGCCTGCTGACAGCAGTCCTGAAGCCTACTGCTAAGTTACCACCTTCTTATGGAGAGAAGATTACAAATGTCTAAAAAGTGATCCCAAAATTGCACCATATGAGCTGCTTGAACATCCACTTTACAAAGGCTTAAATGTATGCCCTGCTTTAATTAATTCACTTCTGATTAAATTTGATATTATACTGAGATACTTTGATGATAGCAGTACCCCCTTTACTTCTGGTACCTAGAGTATGCCTGAAAGCACCTTAGAGCCAGAAGTCAAAATATAATTAACCATAAATGGGCAGAGTGCCCAGAGTCCAACAACAAAACAGCAACAAAAACACATCCCACACACAAAATGTCTATATAAACAATCCTTCAGCAGCATAAAGCAGATGCAAGTACCCCTGGAAAGGTGCTCAGTGAACTTCTTAAGAGCCAACAACTCTAGCCACAACCACTGCTTCAAGAGTTGTGTCTTGCTTACTATGAGAGATCCTAAAAAACAGACAACCTACAAATAC